TCCTTCATTAAATTATCTTGACACCCTTGTCAAAGAGCAATTGACCATAAGTGTGAGGGTTTATTTCTGGACTTTAAATTTTATCCTATTGATCCTTATGTGTATTCTTACACCAGCAGCACACAGTTTTCATAATTGTATTGTTTTAGATGATTTCAAATAACAGAGTGAAAGTTCTTAAGTTTATCCTCGCAAGATTGTTTTGGCTATTCAAAGATGCTTTTTTGAAAAGCGGTGGTTCACAATTGGTGTAGCCTTTTCTCTTTCTTCTCTGGGAAGTGGAATTTGGTTGTATAGAGACCTTTTTAGGAACTTAATCTAATTAGGTAAATAATCCCCACTTCCTTTGCTGAGGTGCTGTGTTACCGACCGTGTGCATTGCCTCCTGGGAAAGAATTGAGAGACCCTGGAAGCACTTGCCCTTGTGGGGAGGTTCAGTGAGCTCCATAATGAGGGGCACAGAGGACATTTTTTTGGAACACAGTGTTGTTGCGGGAGCCGTATGTATTTCTGCGTCTTTATTTTTTTGTACAGCTCTCATCTCTGTTGGACATAGTAGATGTTAAAATCTTTGTTAATCCTCTGAGGTCTGGGTCTTAGCTGACCTGTCAGCTGGAGCTTGAGGAGGTGCCTGGCAAAGCAGTGACCCCCATGGGGAGGAGGATATCTCAGCAGGGTAAAAGCAGCTGGGACCCAGAGAAACCAGGAAGGTCTGACCCTTAGAAGCTAGGGTGCAGCATATAGGTGTCCTCAGAAGCAAATGGACCACTCTGGTACCCATTGCAGTAGACTGGAACCAGATAGGAGGCCTTGGGTATCCCATGTCCTCTCTCAGCTCCCCAGCTAAAGATTTGGGCCCTGGGCTGGTGCTGTTTTACAGCAGGGGCAAGGTAGACAAGAATGGTTGCATATCAGCCTGAGTCCATGTCATTTTCTCAGGCGTTGTCACTGCAGAGGGAGAATTTTGTTGAGAGGCCCAGCCTGGGAACATGGGAGGGACCACCCCATTCTTTTAAAATTATTTAAAAAAAAAACAGTATCGGTAAATGTCATGGGTGTTTTATTCTTCTAGAATCATCGCTAATGTCATATTTTACAATGCATCTTAGGTGAATGGTGAGAACCATCTACACAATGTACATTTTAAGGTGACTCTCCTATAATTTCAGCTTTCATATGTTCCTATAAAAACCATCTTCTGTCTGAACACACAAGCAATATCTCTGTGTTTGTCTCTACTGTGGTAAAAAAAAAAAACTTTGGCCGAATTCAATTTAAAGGAGTTTAACTGTGCAACGAATGACTCACGAATCAGGCAGCCCCCCGAATCACAGCAGATTCAGTGACTAGAAGTGCCTCATGGTCAGAACAAATTTATAGACAAAAAAAGTAAAGTGATGTGCAGACATCGGAATTGAGGTACGGAAACAGCTGGATTAGTTGCAGCTCAGTGTTTGCCTTATCTGAACACAGTTTGGACAATCGGCAGTGTGTAACTTGTTGAAGCTTGGCTGCTGAGGTTGGCCGAGACTTAGCAGTTGTTACAGGTGCATACACCTACATAGGTGTTTAATCTTGTCTACTTATTAAATTATGTTGCAGTTCATCTACAAGGACTCACATAGAGAAGTACGAAGTCCTTCTCAGGCCATATTTAGTTTGCTTTAACAGTTCATCCCATTAGGTCATTTTCTCCATTTTGAGAGATTGACCACAGCTTTAGTCCTTGATATCACTGTCACCATCATACATTTACTTACTTGGTCTTGAAGCCCACTGGGAAAACAGTAGAACAATGAGTTTTTCAAAGGTAGGAAGAAGGGCTAAGTAGAAGGTGCCTCCTTATGCCGGAACTTTCTGTTTACGGGAGAAAAACCAAACCTGGTCTGTTCTGGTTTAATATCCATGTGTTTCTTTAAAGTCTTACTTTGATGATGTGGTGTCTAGCATGAGCAACTCCATTTTGTTAGGTTTGCTCTATCTGGGTTTAGTGCATGAGCTCAGTCCAACACAATGGCCTCCCATAATTTTGTTTTTAAAATTTCTCCTTTTGGGTCAGGTTCTCACTTAGGCGAGAGTGTGACCAAAACGTGCGGTCTGAGGCCCACTCTCAGTTACCATCACTTTGGGTTTCTGGTCTCAACATATCATTCATAGGTTTTGGTGTCCTCACGATTGCACCTTTCTTTCAGCTTGTGTCATTCTGGTTCAAGAGGAACCATTTGACATTTTAGTGATGACTGCATGCAAACATTTAACGGCTTTGAGAAAATACAGTGCACCAGGGAGACTATTACTATGACCATCAGGAGGACAATACCAAGAGTTCAGAGTATGCCTTTTGCCCAGGGTCCCCATAAACCAGATCACTTAAAGACATCAAAGAATAGGCTAGGTAAAGAGCTTACTCACTTAACTAAGCAAGCTTTTTGTTAATCTTCTGCAACTAAATCTCTGTAATACCTGATGTTTTCTCCAGGGGCCGGAAGTGCCAGCTGCACAGATACTTTTCTGTTCAGCCGATTCCCTTATTTAGCACAACTTTCACATGAGAATTTAAAACCTGTGGTGTAACCACAGACTTTACAGTAGAATCTGCTATAGAGCTTATTATGAAAGACACATTTCTAACCATTGCTTAATTTATTTCAAACCACATAAAAAGGTCCTAACAAATAATGCCCTTCCATTATAGAAAAGTGAAGGCATCCTGGCAATGTTTCAAACTCACAATGTAGGTTCAGAGGAGTGAATTAATGTTCTGATTCTGACTGGGTATGAGGCAACGTACATATCATTAATGTTTCTCATTGAGCCTTTATCTTTTTACCTATCGAAACATCAGGTTATCTGTGTATAAGGCTGGCTGAAAATCCTTCATAAATAAAAGTGTACCCCATAAGTGCACACAACAGACCTGCTTTTCATTTCTGTTGTTTATAGAGGCCCAAAAAAGAAAAAAAATATTCAAAAATAACAGTCTCATGATGGTAGAAGTCTTGATCTGTGATCTCGGAAAAACTTTTCACATCAAGGATGCCAGCTTCTTCTAGGGAGAGATTTCCCTCGTTAGCTTTACCTTAAGGGTTCCAACGGGTGTACATTTCCAAGTGTGTGGAGGGGCCCTGCACAGTTGTCATATTATGAACCCAAATTCAGGGTTCCAACATTTTGCTGCAATCCAGATGGCAAGGACAGTCTTTCTCTGATGTTCTTAGGAGTTCCAATCCATACGTTCTAGATTGTACAAAAGTTGATTATATTTAGTGAACCGTAGAAAACTTTCTTTACCTGGTGAAAATACACTGTGACATAATAACTTATGTGGTAACATGGGCCCCCTTGCATGGGAGAACTTTTATTCAGCCAGAGTGAGAAAACATGCATTGAAAATAACAATGGAATGAAATCTCATTTTAAAATGTTTAAATGGAGCACCAGGTGACCAGGAGTACCTGAAACTTTGATTGTTTTCTCAGGAACATGGGGCCAAACATTGGTTATAAACTCTTTTAGCAATTTATGTCGCCACACCAATATATTCCATTTAATATTTTTCATTTCCATGATGAGTTATGGAATTCAGAATTTGTAAGGATAAAAGCTTTAAGGACTTAGGAAGGACAAGGTAGCCATCCTGGTTCTTCATGAGTCCATGCCTAGTTAACATTAGACTTATATCCTCTTGAATCCCAGTCTTTCTTCAAATTAACTGCATAGTACTGAAAACTGATGGGTTGTCATAGGTAATTTGACTTAGACCATGGAGTTCATTCAAATTGAATATCTGATTTTAGTATTAGCTGATGTAGCATGAGTGCTGATTGGTAAGGTAGGCGATGACATCATGGGAAGTTGAAGCTGTCCTTTTGTGCTGAGTCAGCTCCTCAGTGGGCTGGTGGGGGGCGGTCACGAGATCAGATGACCCAGTTGATCAGTCTGGGTGGTGTCAGCTGACCCAAGTGCCGGATCCACAGCATCTCTCAGACACTGATGTTAGGAGCAGTTCAGGGAGGGTCAGAATCTTGTAGCCTCCAACTGCATGACTCTTAAACCATAATTTCTAATCTTGTGGCTAATTTGTTAGTCCTACAAAGGCAGTCTAGTCCCCAGGCAAGAAGGAGGTTTGTTTTGGGAAAGGGCTGTTGTCGTTTTTGTTTTAAACTATACAAAACAAATGTGTGTTGTAGGTGAAGTTTATGAAAGTTACCTGTGTCAGCACGTGTGTTTATTGCAGCACTGTTCACAATAGCAAAGACTTGGAACCAACCCAAATGCCCATCAATGATAGACTGGATACAGAAAATGTGGCACATGTACACCATGGAATACTATACAGCCATAAAAAAGGTTGAGTTGATGTCCTTTGCAGGGACGTGGATGAAACTGGAAACCATAATTCTCAACAAACTGACACAAGAACAGAAAAGCAAACACCACATGTTCTTACTCATAAGTGGGTGTTGAACAATGAGAACACATGGACACAGGGAGGGGAACATCACACACTGGGGCCTGGTGGGTGGGGAGCTAGGGGAGGAATAGCAGGAGGTGGTGGGATTGGGGAGGGATAGCATTAGGAGAAATACCTAATGTAGATGACAGGGCAATGGATGCAGCAAACCACCACCATGGCATGTGTATACCTATGTAACAAACCTGCATGATCTGTACATGTACCCCAGAACATAAAGTATAATAAATACATTTTTAAAAAGAAGGTTACCTGTGTTAGGCAGAACAATGGCCTCCTAAAAGTGTCCACGTTCTAACCCCTGACACGTGCATCTAACTTTCTTGGTAAAAAGGCTTTGCAGTGGTAATGAAGTTAAGTATCTTGAGGTTATTCTGGATAATCTGGGGTGGCCCATTGAAATCAGAAGGGTCCTTGTAAGTAAAAGCGAGAGGCAGGTGGGTCAGGGTGAGAAAGATGCAGCCTGAGAGACTCCACTGGCCATCACTGGCTGTGAACATGCATCATAAAGCAAAGTTACAACTAATTTACTTATACATCTAATTGACTTTTATTTGTGAGGCATTGTTTCGGGCAGCTCCCCCTGGGCAATACAATACCAGAGCGGTGGGTGAATTTCTTATGACAGCATTATCCTGCCAAGTGAGGGAGGCAGGCATAAGCAAGAACAAATTAAGAGGGGTGAAAGTTTCATCATGAAGAGGAGTCTTGTTTTGACATCTTTGAAAAAGCTGTCCACAGTGTGGAGTTGTCACTCTTGTCCTGGTCTGCAGTTTGAGGGTCTCTGGTCATGGTGTGTCGAACATTTCAGTGAAGTCTCTAAGTGGCTCACACCTCAGGCATGAGGGATATCTGTTGAAATTTACATTGAGTTGTCCACCTCCGGCTTACAGGGCTTCAGGAACAGGGCAGCTCTTGTTCTTAGTAATTCCATGGGAGAGCATTGGATTGAAGTAGCTAGAAGAATCCACGGTCCAGTTCAGTCTGCAGGTGGATAATAAAAACTTAATGAGCAGAGCCGCAATCTCATCACAGGTGCACTATAGTCTTTCTTTTCAACATACTTTTTTCTCTCTATAGGAGTCTCTATTTTTACCAAAGATAATTCCCAGTAGGACAAATTTGTTTACAAAGTAAGTTGAGTCTCATCAAACTTGGCCTGATTCTTCAAATAAGTGCAGCAAGAGTAGTGATGAACCACGGAGGCTCTTTTTAACGTTTGCTTTGCTAGTAGTTTTTATAAGGAATCTCATATTAAACTTAAAAAAAAAAAACTTTTGAGACTGTACAAGAAAAGCAAGGCTGACTTCAGAATTTGCCTCCAGTACCTGTGGATTCATTTGCCTGCAGTACCTGGGATATTATATTTGAGAATGTTGTATATTCTCAAATGTAACATCCCAGTCAAAGCCTTGGTAATATAACCAATTCTTTCAAATGTGTCCTGTTATAGAAAGGGCAGATTCTTACTGAACTTGTGCAAATAACTGTATTACCATAAACATATAAATAGTCATGAACAGTTCCCCATTTCTCGGGCAGTCAGGTAAGGAGCACAAATACATTTTTCTATTTTTGTTCACAAAAGTGTACTTTAGCAAATGGCTGTAAGCTGTAGATTACTTAAAAGAGAAAAAAGTCCTAAATGTGGAAAACAAAACATTTAAAGAATCGGCAAATTTCCAAATAAAAAATCGTAAAAATATTATCGTCATTAATATTAGTTAGTCCAATGAAATTGATTTTTTTCCTGCTTATTCTTGGTTGGCAATTTCATGAAAGTATCAGCCTGTTTATTAAAAATCTAAAAGTTCTTAGACTGTCCAGAGGTATGATCTTAAAGTTATCAGAAACTTATATTCAAGAGTACTTGTCAGAGTCTTATTTATAAATCTTTTTGAAGAAGAAGCAACTTTGGACTGTAGCTGATTGCAAATGCTTTGAGAAAAAGTCAAAACAGCTGTCTGTGAATGACCAAGATTGAAAATGACTATGGTTAGAAACCTGATTAGAGTCCATTATGATAAAGACATGGCTCACATAGAAACTTAGTTACTACTGTGGCATATGACATTATGACTGATAATAGATTTCTATGACTCATAATTTTGGAACACTTACTAGCACACCTATAAATATAAATTGGAGATAGTTTAGCATCGCATATTAATTATCATTTGACAATGCTTTCCATATAATTTAACAGATCAAATGAGGTGGCTTTTCCATTTAGCTTCTGTTTCTCAAATGGATTACTTAGCTTTTGTGTAGCCCATTAATGAGTAGGGCCAACAAAGTATAGGTTTATGTATGTTGAAAAGTTCCCTAGGTAATTCCAGTACTCCTAGCTAAACATCATTGATTGAGGTCTAAATTCTACCTATTAGAACAGGGCTTCTGTATTCTAGTTACATGTTAGTAGCATCTCAGAAGACTTAAAAATTACCAATGCCTGGGTCCCACTCTATAATCCGTTTGATTTAATGGTCATTAAAGCAAAATTTATGGATGGGGCTAGAGCATCCACTTATAAAAATGTTTCCCAGTGATTCCAATGTGTAGCTATATTTCAGAATTCTCTGATTTCTTGTGGCATTCATTTCTTTCTTTCTTTCTTTTTTTTTTTTTTTTTGGAATGGAGTCTTGCTTGCTCTATTGCCCATGCTGGAGTACAGTGGCACGATCTCAGATCACTGCAACCTCTGCCTCCCAGGCTCACGCGATTCTCCTGCCTCAGCCTCCTGAGTAGCTGGGATTGTAGGCACCCACCACCACACCCAGCTAATTTTTATATTTTTAGTAGAGTTGGGGTTTCACCATGTTGCCCAGGCTGGTCTCGAACTCCTGACACCAGATGATCCGCCTGCCTCAGCCTCCCATAGTGCTGGGATTTCAGGCGTGAGCCACCATGCCTGGCCTCGTTTCTTTGTATTATGGTATTATGATTATTTTCAGGTCTTATCTCCTGTCTTAGGCTTTATGTTTCCTGGGGTAGGGACCTTGCCTTCTTCATTTCTGTATCTTTCATAAACACATGAATTGGTCATCAGGGAAAAAGTCTCCATCACAGGTACGTTGTGTCCTGAATCTTGGGTTCACACATTAATGCTAGAGTCTTTGTTCTCCCTGAGGTCAGAGTTTACTTGTGATGAGGGTGTGAGTAAACCTGAAGGGCAGATGGTGGAGGGGAGATCACCCTGATTTTAGGCATAGCATTGAAACTAAGAATTCTATGTATATGTGGGGTGGAGGGGCAGGGATGTGTAGGAAGAGAGTTCTAATTAGGATGGAAAACTTCTACTAGGGAATAAAGGTAAAGGAAGTGAGAAGGATTAGTAAAAAGAAGAAACGTGAACATATCAAATAGGCTAGAGTAGAACCCTGAGGATTCTGGATTAGGTGAATTAACTAGATTTCAGGAAGCTAATGAGGCAATCATATGCAAGGAACATTTCAAAGACTGGAGACAAGAAGTCCACCAGTACTTCAGGCAACCGTGGCGGTTTTATGGAAATGGAGAGAATGACACAAGCAAGAGATGTTTACAAAGGACCAAGAGGGTTTTACAAAGTATTGAATCTGGGAAGCAAATGAGAAGAGACTGGGGATACAGAGAGCATGGACACCAAGGAGGAAGAGACCTGCAGGAATTAGTGCTGAGAAACAGTTTAGTGGGAGGAGAAGGAGATCCAGTTCCAGATAGAGGCAAAGAAGTTCTTTCCCTCTCCCAAGCATGGCAGTCAGTCCTGTAGGAAATAGGACAAGAGGGAAGGCCATCGGTTCTGCCAGTCTTTCTGAAATACAGAAACTAAACCAGGGCTGCTAAATCAGAACCACCCTGGCCAGCACGGCAATCTTAATGCCGACAGTGGCCCCAGCTGAGAAGCCAAGAGAACTTGATTCTGAAGCATCTGTCATGGAAAGAAAAGAAGGCTGGGCGCAGTGGCTCACGCCTGTAATCCCAGAACTTTGAGAGGCCGAGGCAGGTGGATCACGAGGCCAGGAGTTCAAGACCAAGGTCATTACTTTTTTCTATACCATTAAAATATTTTACCTTTTTGTGGTTGCATCTTTTCCTCATGTGTCAGTTATGGCCTGGCCAAGATGGTGAAAGCCTATCTCTACTAAAAATACAAAAATTAGCTGGGCATGGTGGCACACACCTGTAGTCCCAGCTACTCAGGAGGCTGAGTCAGGGGAATAGCTTGAACCTGGGGGTGGAGGTTGCAGTGAGCCAAGATCACGCTAGTGCACTGCAGCCTGGGCGACAGAGCAAGACTCCATCTCAACAAAAAGAAGAAAAATATGAAGGTGATGTTATTTTACAGCCGGGTGCCCCAGGAACCAGCATGCAGCATGAAGTAGTCTCTAATTGTTCCTTCAAGGAATACATAATTCTTGTGGAAAAGTTGCTGGGTGATGATTAGCCAACTATATTCTTGCAGTTTCAGTTTTTAAAAATTCCTCTCACCATGTTCCTAGATTGGCAGTGAGTCTTATATCAACTCCATACTGGCCATGCTGTACTCAGATATTTTTTGAAGGCTTTGGGACGTCAGAAAGGATAATTGCTTTTTTCTATAGCATTAGAATATTTCACCTTTTTGTGGTTGCATCTTTATAGTGTAGTACTTATAATATACATATACAATATATAGTATTTAGTATATATATATATCTACATAGATATATATAGACTTACAGACATATACTCATATATATATAAACATATATACTTATATATACTATATACTTTATATAGACTATGTATATATAAAGCCTATATCTATATATAGATATATCTTTCCTGCCACGCAGAGTCCCCTTGGGTGAATCTCTGTATGTCTCCAAGTGTACGTCACTCACTGTCCTCTGTGCTGTGTCCCATGTGCTGTGCCCACAGCCTCATAAAGCCACTGATGTCAGAGCCAGGACACAGCTCAGGAGTCTCCCCTGAGGCTTCCTCTCTGCTTATTTCCCTGCAGCCTGACCCAGGGGACACTTGGCTTCAACTGGCAACTCGATTTAGCCAAATTCAAGACAGGCCACCAGGGCTCTTTCTCCTCACACACTGGTCCCACCCCAGGTGCAGTCAGGCAGGGCCAGTCACAGAGGAGCCTAGAGCAGAGCAGGGAGCAGAGTCTGAGCTGCTCCTCCCTCATCCAAGGGGCTTCCTCCTCTCATTTGGGGTAAAAGTATGAGCTTGTTTCAAGGCCTCAGATGTTTCTTGAAGCTCATGCAGTAGGTAAAAGAAAATAAAGACGTGACAGAAAGGGATATGTTGGCGACAGCGAGAAGCAACTGATCTTGAGGACTCTCCTTCTTGTCCCTCTGTGAAGCCTCTTCCACCACACAGGGCTCAGGGCTGACAAAGCCCCCTCCCTACGTTGCTCAGGCTGGACACAAGGTCAGTCATGAGAAATCAGAAAAACAAGGAAAACAGAGTCCGTAGAGATAAATTAGGAGGGTTCAGGAGGAGAAATTAGGATTTGCTTGTGCCTGCGGGACACAGGCTGGGAATAAAAATGTTTTCCTGACTTTCTCTGAAAGCCAGATAGACTCCATCTAAAAACCTACTGCCAGTGATGCCGGGATTCACTTACCAACGACTTTGATCTTCTTGAATGCGAAGGTTCTTTTGCCAGTGACTGAGTTATAAGCAAAACAAACATAGAGCCCAGTATTCTTTGTAGTGATTTGGGGGATAGAGACCTCTTTTCCTGGTGGCAGAAATGTCCCATTAACCATCCAACGATACTCTGCCGGTGGGTTAGAGTCCGCGAAGCAGGAGAGGTGGAGGTTTTCTCCTTGATGGTAAAGGGTATCTGAAGGAGAAATGCTGGGGAAGTCTGGACCATCTGGAGCAAAGAGAATAAAGCCACAGTAATGTCCTCCGAGGGAAGGGGACGGTCCTGGTCAGTTAAAGAGATACATTGTTCCTCTGAGCCAAGACACACCCTGAAGTCCCAGCCAAACCCCCTCTGTGTTCACTGAGCCGAAGCCTGAGGTATTCACCTGTTTCTCCCATCACAAGCTGTGGACCCCAAGTCTCCCATGACAAGAGCATCCCTCCCCCTATATTCTTGATCAAGACTGTGCCCACCCGGTTTCCCAGGGCAAGAAGTCATGGGCAGCTCGGGTGTCCAGAAGTAGGGGTGTCATACTTGAACCTGAGAGAGACTGAGAGTCCTGGCCTCTGGCTGTTTGGATTTTAGCTGGTGGCCTGGCCCACAGAGTAACAAAAGATACTCACAGGAGACCCTTAGGGTGACTGAGTCACTGCGGAAGACTTCCATTGAGGTCCGTATTTCACATTCATAGGATCCTGTGTGATTTCTTGTGACACTGTGTAGAGTGAGGGTCCTGTAATCATGAGACAGCCGTACGCTGGGACTCAACTGGAGGCTCTCACCATTTACCAACCACAGGTAGGTGGCATTTCCAATTTCAAGTTCACAGGTTAAGGTTATATCATCCTCATGTTCCACGGCGTTATATTTGTTGCTGGTGATGGCGACTCTGGGCAACTCCGCTGTGGAGATAACAGAAGATTGCCCTGTGTGGCATCTTTGATTCCTCCACAGGCATCTTGCAGTCAGAGTTGCATCTCCCACCTCTCAGCCCACCCAAGTCCTTGAAAGCCAGTGGCTGGTATGTGTGTCACAAGACAGATGTACGATGATCTAAGGAATCCAGGACTGTGAGGCCACCTGCTCTGTCTTAGGGAAGCACAGGCTTTCTCAGCTGTGAATTGAGCAGCAGTGATGGGTCATGAACAGACATGTGGGTGGGAGTCACAGCCCCTGGTGCCCCTCCCAGTCCTTCCCTAATCAGCTGACTGGCTGGCCCACCTTGGGTTCCTTACCTGGAATGTGCAACTGCTGGGTCTCTTCTAAATTCCATCCTACTTTGCCCCCTTAGATGTATTTTCTCTGCAGCTTCCCTTTCCAAGGACATTCTAGAGATGAGTAATAATGGGACTTCCCATTGTCCTGAAACTCTGAAGGTACTAAGCAGCCTGGCCTAGGACTGGATGTTTCAGGAGAAATAACCCAGTGGGGACCAGAGTCAAGCCTGGAGGTCAGCTCAGCCATCAGGCAGTGGAGGCGCAAGGTGGGGCAGTTTTCCCCAGATGTTTCAGAGTGACTGACTTGAGCCAGTGACCTCTAAAGATAGAGCAGAGTCCATGCTAGAATGACCTAGAAAGAGTGAAGGGGACAGGCAAGAGCTGGTGGCTTTGGAGCAGAACCATGTTCCCTGTCCTGGGTTCTTGAAGTTTCCTCTCCTTCTGCAGAGGGCAGGTGAGGACCATGGAAATCTTTCTAGCAGTACACGTGGACATTTGCAAATGCAGAACTGACTGGTGGAAATGGGGAGCATGAACTGCTGGAAATCTGGTCCTCACGGACTGTGTGTGTTTGATGGATATGAGATACAAATTTGGGAAGAAGTTTTGCAAATATTTTCTTTCATTGGATATTCTACTCTGATTCCATGGGTTTGACTACTCTAGGGACCTCATGTAAGTGGATTCCAGAGTGAATCAGAGGAGAGACTGCTGGTTGCCAGGAGCTGGTAGTGGGGAGAATAGGGAATTATTCATGGGTGTGCAGTGTCAGTTATGGGAGATGGGGAGGCTCTAGAGGTCTGCTGTACAGCTTGATGCCCATAGTTCACACAGATTGAGTATTTCTTATGCATAAGACTTAGGATGAAAAGGGTTTTGTATTTCTGACATTTTTTGATTCTGAAATATTTGCCATATACTTACTGATTGCATCCCAAATCTGAAAGATTCAAATTCCAAAATGCTCCAGTGAGCATTTCTTTTCAGCATCAGATTAGTAGGCAAAAGTGGGAGGTGACAAGTCAGATAGATTCCTGCCTTCTTTTTTCCTCACCACGTTTCTAGCTTGGTGATTAGTCTTTGGTGAATTCCACACTGACCATGCTGCACTCGTATGTTTTTGAATGCTTTGAGATGTGAGAAGGGCTGGTTGTTATTTTCTGTGTCATCAGAACTTTCCACCTTATCATGGGTGCTTCTTTCTCTAAGTGTCTTTGTTGTGGAAGTCATTAATAAGAGCTTCTCAGGTCAGATTTAGGACAGATTTTTGTAATTCTGCAAAAAGTGTTACTGGGATTCTGGTAGGGGTTGGGTTGAAGCTGCAGCTTACTTTGGGTAGTACTGTCTTCCTAAGAGTATTGAGTCTTCAAGTCCATACAAATGAAATGTCTTTCTATTTATTGATGTCATCTTTAATTTCTTTCAGCAATGTTTTGTAGTTTTCAGAGTAGAATCCCTTGACCTTTCTGGTTAAAGTTATTTCAAAATATTTTATTCTTTTTGATGTTAATGTCAACTGAAATTGTTTTCTTAATTTCCTTTCAGATTGTTCATTGTTAGTGTATAGTCTAAAGAATCATCTAGTAAGAGCAAAATGGACAGGCAAAAGCTGGTGGCTTTGGAGTAGAAACATTCCCTGTCATGGGTGTTTGATGTCCCCTCTCCCTTTGCAGAGGGCAGGTGGCTCTTTCCTGATATCCAGATAGACCTCACTGGGAAACATCGCCAGTGCTCTAGGGATCCACTTACCAGGGACTATGATCCTCTTTTTCTTTTGCCAGTGTCTGAGTTATGGATGACACAGTTATAGACCCCTCTGTATGTTTTAGTGATTTTGGGGATAAAGAACACTTGTGCTGATTGCTGGAACTTCCCATCAATCAGCCAAGAATGCTCTTCCAGTAGGTGAGAGTCTGTGAGGCAGGAGACCTTGGGGATTTCCCCAGAATGGTAATAGCTGTATGAAGAAGAAATGGTAGGGGCACCCAGGCCATCTGGAGCAAAGAGAATAAAGCCACAGGTAATATTGTCAGGGGGAAGGGGAAGCTCCTGCTCTGTGGAAGGGCCACAGTGACCCTGTGAACCAAGTCACAACACGGAAGTCCCAGGCAAACCCCTGCCGTGTTCACTGATCTGGAGCCTGAGACACTCACCTGTTTCTTTCATCACAAGCTGTGGACCCTGAGCCTCCCATGATAGGAGCAGCCCCTTTCTTCCTATTGTTGATTGAGGCTAGGCCTACTCTGGTTTGCCCAGGGCAGAAAATCATGGCCAGCTTCGATGTCCAGGGATAAAGGTCTCTGTACTTGGACCTGAGAGGCCTGGCCACCGGCCATGTGTATCTGGGATGGAAGCCTGGGCCCACAGAGGAACAGAAGATACTCACGAAGGACATTCAGGATGACTGGATCACTGCGGCTAGCACTCACTGGATTCTTCACTTCGCATTCATAGGATCCTGTATCATTCTCCGTGACACTGAATAGAATGAGGGTTCTGTTGTGATTGGACAGCTCCCACGTGCTATTGATTCGGAGGCTCTGACCATTTACCCACCACAGGTAGCTTGCTTCCTTAATCTCAGGTTCATAGTTTAAGATCACAGTTTCAGTCTTCCTGGGGTTTGAGTTGCTGCAGGCGATGGAGGGCTTCGGAGTCTCCACTGTGTAGATAACAGAGAGATTACCCTTTGTGGCACCTTTAATTCCTACAAAGGCATTTTTCAGTGAGAGTTGGCATCTCCCACCTCTCAGCCTACTGAAGTCCTTAAAAACCCATGGCAGGTGTGTGTGTGTTATAAGACAGATGCACGACAATCTGAGGGCTCAGAGGTAGTGAGGCTGCCTGCTTTATGTGGGAGAAGTACAGACTTTCTCAAGTGTGAATGGAACAGCTCTGTTGGGTCATGGAAAGACACAGGACCAAGAGTCACAGCTCCTGGTGCCTCTCTGAGTCCCTCCCTCTCCAGCTGCCTGCCTGGCGCACCTTGTGGTCCTCACCTAGAACATGCAGCTGCTGGATTCTTTTCAGTTTCAGTTTTACTTCCCCCCCACCCCCGGTATGTTTTCTCTGCAGCTTCTCTCTCCAAGGACATCCTAGAGATGGGTGATGATGGAACTTACCATTGTCCTTTGGGTATCCTGTGGGTACTGGGCAGCCTGGCCTGGGACTGGGTACTTCAGCAGAAGTAACACAGGGGAGGCCAGGGCAAGCCTGGAGGTCAGTTCAGCCATCAGGCAGTGGAGGCACAAGGTGGGGCAGTTTCCCCAGGGCTTTTGCAGTGACTGACTTGAGCCAGTGACTCTAAAGATAGAGCAGAGTCCAAGGAATGATCTAGAAAGAGTGAAGGGTCAGGCAAGAGCTGGTAGCTTTGGAGAAAGACCATGTTCCCTGTTCTGGGTCCATGATACTCTCTTTCCCCTTGTAGAGGGAAGGTGAGGACCGTGTGGATCTTTCTAGAAATACATGTGGATGTTTGCAAATGCAGAACTGACTGGTGGAAAGGGGGAGCATGAACCGCTGGAAATCTGAACCTCATGGATCATATGTGTTTCGACATAAGACCAAAATTTGGGAAGAAGTCTTGCAGATACTTGTAGAATACTATAATGACTTGTAGAATGTCATTAGACATTCTACTCTGTGATTCCATGATTGTGACTACTCTATGGACCTCATATTAGTGGATTCCAGAGTGAGTCACAGAATAGAATGGTAGTTGCCAGGAGCTCGGGTCAGGGGAATAGGGCATTGTTCAATGAGTGTGCAGTTTCAGTTATGCAGGATGAGGAGGTTCTAGAGATATGCTGTACAGCTTCATGCCTATAGTTTATATGAATAAAGTATTCCTTATGCAGAAAGCCTAAAAACAGAAGTGTTTTGGATTTCTAACTTGGTTTGATTTTGGAATATTTGCAGTGTACTTACTGGTTTAGCATCCAAAATCTGAAAAAGTTGAAATCCAAAATGCTCCAGTTAGCACTTCTTTTTCATATCACAGAAGTAGTCAGAAGTATTGGATTTGGGGGCATTTCAGATTTTGGATGCTCAATTTGAAATACTGTAAAAAGTTGTGAGGAGTTCAGACCTCATGTTATGCTCTGACTCTAGTAACAAAAAATATTTGGTGGCAACATGAAAATTTTTTCATAAGTGGAAATTTTTATTGATGGTCCAAACATCTAAGATCAATTGCTGGCAGTAGTATTTCTCCTGATACCAAAATAAGGTTTAGGTGTGTTGTGGATTCCAGCAGGATCACACTATGCTCAAAGGAAGAAGCCGAAGGTGAGTTGAAATGAGCCACTCCCTAAATAGAAAGTCCCAATAAAAGGACAGAACTGGTGAGAGAGAGAGTCTTAGGTGTGTCAATTACATAAAGGGAGGAATGATGCCAAATTAAGAGAAGTGATGTGTGTTATGTTAGTAAATATAGAAAGAGCTCTCTGCTTCTCATTTCTGTGCAGAGTTAGGAAAAATGGGGAGGAGCCCAAAACAGGTATGTGAAATGCATTCTTCATTTTCTCTTAACCTCAGGAAACACAACTAGAGTTTAAGTTCATGTTAATCAGGAAGAGTCTAAGTGAGATGCCAGTGGCTCATGTGTCTCTCCACATGAAGAACCCCAACTTATGAAAATGGCATCATCATGAGGAAACAGGTGTATGTGGAACAGACAGTAAAACCATCAGATAGCACCCACCTGGCTACCTCCAACTGGTCCCCCAAACCACCGGTATTCCCATTACATGTATGTTACAGACTTTGTAGTTGACCCACAACTATGAACTTTAAAAATTGCTATTTTCAGTACAAAATATTAAACATGTAGTTGAATATGTTGTTCTGCTTTCTTTTCCACCCTTTTTGAACTTTCCTGTTTCAGTTTTGGACGTTTCTATTGACTCATCCTCCAGCTAGGGATTCTTTCTTCAGCTGTGTCCAGTCTATCAGTAAGCCCATTAAAGGCATTTTTCATTTCTCTAACAGTATTTTTTATCTCTAGCATTTCTGTTGATTCTTTCTTAGAATATTCATCTCTCTGCTTACATAATTCATCTGTTCCTGCATGGTGTCTACTTTTTAAATTATAACCCTTAACCACATTTCTTTTAAATTCGCAATGTGGGCTGGGTGCAGTGGCTCACATCTGTAATCCCAGCACTTTGGGAGACCGAGGCAGGCAGATTCCCCAAGGTTGGGAGTTTGAGACCAACTTGACCAACATGGAGAAACATATCTCTACTAAAAATACAAAATTAGCCAGGCATGGTGGCATGAGCCTGTAATCCCAGCTACTCAGGAGGCTGAGGCAGAAGAATCGCTTGAACCTAGGAGGTTCAATGATTCAGTGGTTCAGAGGTTGCAGTGAGCTGAGTCGTGCCACTGCACTCCAGCCCGGGCAACAAGAGCAAAAACTCCATCTCAAAAAAAAAAAAATTCCCAGTCTGATAATTTCAACACATCTGTCACATCTGTGTTTTGTTCTGATCCTTACTCTGTCTTTCAAATTGCATATATGTGTGTGTGTGTATATATATATATATATAGACACACACATTTTTTTGTTATAGTCTGTCTTGTATGATGTGTGGAAAGTCAGACATGATGTACTGGGTAAAGGGACTTGAGAGAGCAGGCATTCAGTGATGTGGTGGTGAGTGTGGAGAGGGAAGGGTTCTGTGGTCCTGGATGAGGTCCGTGTCCTGGGCTGTGAATGTCACAAGTGCCCCTGGGCTGTGAACGTCACAAGGGGCACTTGTGATGTTTACAGTCCAGGACACAGCCCAGGACATAGCCTAGGACACAAAAACCTGAAGCTTCTAAGGTTTTTGCTCATTTGAGGTGAGACATAATGGCTAGAGGAATTTGGAGTTGGATATTTTCTCTCCTCCAGGCCATTTAGGCTTTGACAAAACCCTAGCTGATTAGGCTGTGGTAAAATAGTTTCTCTTAAAGGCAGGTCTTATTAAGAAGAATAGAATTCACTAGCATATCTTCAAGTTGTTCCTTTACCCTCCCCCCACAGAAAGGATGAGGAGATTTTAGTGAATATTCACTGCAAAACCCTGGTAGAGCTCCAGAAGCTAAGAGTCACAAAAAGTGCCCCTGTTGTCAAAAGTGGTTCATCCCCTTGAGTGTTTCCCTCTGGGTCTTGTCTGCACTGATTCTTTGGCAACTCACCAGTCACAGTTCAGGTTCTCTGTCCCCAGCCCTGGTTCCCACTGGGGTTTCTGTGCCTGGGTTTCTGCTCAGATGAGGTTGCTGATCTGTCTTTGCCTGTCACTCTCTCCAATATGTGGGTCAGTTGGCACTGAGACCTCACATCTCTGAGGGATTTTGAGGAGTTGTTGATTTTTGAGTTTGTTCAGCATTTTACTTGCTGTGAGAACTGAATGATGACTCTCTAGCTTGTTATACGCCTGACAGGAAACCAAAAGCCTCTAGGAAGCGACTGGAGAATGGGAGCTCCACAGCAGGTTGAGGACGGAATCACAAGGGACATGGGTGAAATGAGCCCATGGGTTTTGGGGACTGCAGGCTTGTCCAGCCTGTGACACCCTGGTGAGTCAGTGCAAAGATGACAACAGTGAGAGCAAACTAGATGGCCGACTCCATCCGGTGTCTAGCCTCAGGCTGGCTGTCCTCACTCATTCCTAGGCATAGGCCAGGCTAACCATGGGCGGCATTTAGTTTATGGTTTAACTTTGAAGCAAGAGTGATAATAGTTCCTCCGTGAAACGAATTCCCTTAGTGCCCAGGGACTGCCTTTGTAAGACTAATGAAAGATCATGGGATTAAGATTATGGGAGCAGCCTGAATTCTGCTAAAATGTAGGCACAGTCTATACTCCCTTACTGTTCCAATGTCATTAGGCCGGAGTTTACAAAATGTGTGACTAATTGCTCCTATAGATAACATCACTATTGCAGAACTTGAGATTGGTATTTTGAGAGTTTTCTCAGATTTTGCATTCTGGCCACCAGCTGACGTCATCTGTACCCATGACTAATGGCTCTTCCCGTCAAGTGGTACCCACCTAGAGGCAGGTTCCACAAAGACAGACCATTTCCCCCCACCTGCATGATTTCATCCCCAAACAACTAGCAGGACTTATTTTTCAGTCTTGTGTCCCTGAAACTCCTTGAAAATCTTTTTTTTTTTTGAGACAGTCTCGCTGTGACACCCAGGTTGGAGTGCAGTGGTGCAATCTTCGCTCACTGCAGCCTCCGCCTCCTGGATTCAAGTGATTCTCCTGCCTCATCCTCCTGAGTATCTGGGACTAAAGGCATGTGCTACCATGCCTGGCTAATTTTTTTTGTAGAGACAGGGTTTCACCATGTTAGCCAGGATGGTCTCGATCTCCTGACCTTGTGATCCACCCGCCTCAGCCTCCCAAAGTGCTGGAATTACAGGCATGAGCCACTGCGCCTGGCCAACTCCTTGAAAATCTCTAACTTTTGATCTACTGGGGAGGCTGATTTGAGAAATAATAAACCTGTGTCCTCCTGTTTGGCAGATTTGGATTAATTAAAATCTTTCTTTACTGCAAATCACTATCTCTATAAATTGGTATTGTTTGTGCAAGAGGTCAGAAGAACTTGTCTGGCAATTATAGGAGTGGATGGAGGTGCTGCCATCCCTGTCCCATGGTCTTTTCCACAGGTCTGCCTCACACAGGGAAAGAGCCCTGGATGGGGACACAGT